GTATTTGGAGGCGTTAAAGGAACAATTTATACAGATTTTTGAAATCCAAGCACGCTGATCTACCTGGAAAATCCGGAAGCTGGTAGGTAGGTTGGCTGCAGGCAAACTAGAAAACCTGTATTACAAAATCAACTCTGTATATACAAAACACTACCACAAACTCACTCCATGGGAGCAAAAACCACCAAAACTTCCCCTCATATTACCATATACCACTCACTCCTGAGCCTGCAGTACCAACAAATGCCATCCTGGAAAGCAACAGGCAGAATGTTACAGGTAGGGATGTGAGGACTGCTGCTTTAGTACAAAGCTTCATGCCTTGGGTCTTAATATTAACTCTCTTTGAAGCTCTTAAAGTCACATGCTGCAGTCTTTGTATGGTTATTTTAACCGAGGTCTAACTAGAGAAACTCAGTACTTGAGTGTAAAGTGCACTAAAGCAGGCAAAAGGTCTACATTTATTAATTCAAGCTCTTAGGGGCCCAACCAAGATTAGTTTTTCTTTTCTTTGAGGAGCCATTTCTTGGGGATATGGACTTGGAGGGTTTAGTTTAACCCGCCTGCCAAGTGGGCTCATAAGGCACTTGGTGCACAGCGAGAGGCCACATTTCATGTCACCTGCTATGTGGTGGCAAAACACAGGGCAACATCCACAGTGACAGCCAGAGCCAAGGGGGGTGATCACACCAGGGACTGCGAGAGGCTAAAACAGCCCCACGGAGCCACATGAAAAAGGTGATGCAAGTTGCCCACAATTTTTAAATATCTATGAGCAACCATGTGCCCAGTTACTGAGACAAAGGAAGAAATACTTGTCCTGTCATCTCTTCGAGTATTTTTTGCCAGTGCTTTTATTTGGGCCCCCTCGGGTTGAGATCTTGCTTCCTATGGAGGGAGATTGGTATTTTGCTCCTGAAGGACCCGGTTTCCTTAAATAGTGGCCACCTACTTTGGCTGTGAAGAGAAAATAGAGATCATTAGTGCAAACACATCTAGTCCCAGTATTGAATTTCATCCATCATTTTGACTTTCAGGATCTATTAAGTCTGAATGACTGAAGCAACTAGAAGCTGGCAGGCACTGAGCCTGAGTGCATCCCACACCAGGAGTGGTTGGACTAAATGGTCAGGGTTCCTTTCCTATCTCTAGAAAATACGTCTGAAATTTTAGCTTATCCAGGCAGGATTTACGTTTCTTCTATGTTTCCAAACTCTAAGCAGCAGCAAACTAATGACCTGCACCCTCCTTAGCAAGTACAAACAGCAAAGCTGAGGACAGACAGACAGACAGGCCTGTAGGTCCAGTTCAGGACTGGAAAGGGCCGAGTTTAACCACCGTGATTCACTTATGGCAGCTGAAAGGGGCAATTCCATAGTTCAGGAACGGGGTGTAGTTGTGACAGGCAGATATGAGCAGAGCACAGATCAGACAAAGGAGGTGAACTCTGAACATGCAGCTGATTAAAGAACTCCAAAGGGTCTAAATGAGGAAAGAGTTGGATGTTACTGGCCAGGAGTTCTGGTGCTGCAGGCAGTTTGTTTAACTTCTGTGTTCTGGAAATAAAAGGATTTTCCATGTGCTTCATAAATAAAGACAACTGCTAATAAAACACCTGACTTCAGCATCAATGTCTCTTTGTTGGTAAAGGAGCTGCATAATGATAAATTCTACCTAGTTCCTGGGTCTGGAGTGGAAAGGAAAAGCAGTGCACAGCACTCACTGTTCAGTTCATCCTGTAATTAGGATCAGCTTTACACCCTCTGATTGGACACTAAAAGCTAAATCAGCTCTGGTTTCCTGTGTCAGCATTCAGGAGCTTTCCAGAACATTCACTGTTCAGCAGATTGTTCTGCTCATGGTCATCCTGTTCTGCAGAAACAACCCCCCTGAACTGATCAATGCATCAAATTGCCAGTTTCCCCAATCAGCTGAGCTAATGGCCCTGTTTGGAATGATTGTTATTGAATGATTTTGGGTATGTGCTCCCCAGCACACTGTACCAGCACAAGAACTACCAGCTCACACAAATGCAAACCACGAGTTGCACAGACACAGCTCACTCCTGGGGATGAAACACTTTCCTTAAGGCAACACAGTAAAAAGCATAAACATGATTATCATTAACTAATACCTTACCAGGCTGCAACAGAATGGTTTTATTCATCGGGGATATCCTCCGCTGGTTCATCTTACAGCCATCGTGGTCCATCAGGTGAGATTTCCAGGCCTAAAGTCCATCAGAAAGAAGTGATAGTAAAACACAAAAAAAATTAACCAGTGATTTACCTGCTCACATGGGGAAAATGAGAGCTGTGCACAGACTTTATGGTAACAGCATTTTAATCTGCTCACTCAAAGTATGAGCACTTTGTGACTTACTAGAAATAGAAATTAATACACCCATTATTTTAATATATCTTAAAAGGTACATCACATTAAAACAATCACCCTACAAAATCAGCCCAACGTGGAGGGCAGGCTCACCTCCTCTCCAGGGGGAAAGTTCTCATGGCACAACGGGCAATGGTTTGCCACATTTTCTGGTTTGGCAGCTGAAATTGTTAGAAAAATAATGTAAGAATTGCAAAGACAGGCTAATCTCAAATACAACAGGAGAACTTGCACAGCAAAGAGCATAAAACTATGTCATGGCTAACCCATCTCCTGCCCCATTATCATTAACTGCTCTCAAAGAAGTCCCAGGTTTAATCATCTCCATCAAAACCAGATCAAAAAGAATCAGAGAATCACAGAATGGCCTAGACTGGAAAGGACCTTCAATATCATCCAGTTTCTCCCTGTCCTGTCACTCCAGGCCCTTTTAAACAGCCTCTCTCCATCTTTCTCCTCAGCTCCCTTCAGGTACTGGAGGCCACAATTAGGTCACCCCCGAGCATTCTCCTCTCCAGGCTGAACAATCCCAATTCTCTCAGCCTTTCCCCATAGCAGAGGTGCCCCACCCCTGTAATCAACTTGGTGTCCCTCCTCTGGACTCACTTCAGCAGATCCAGTGCTTTTACTCAGGTAAACTCAGGCATTTACCCCTAATCTGTTCCCTCCTGAGGATTTACTTAGATCCCTAAATCCATTTTTCCTCAGATTCCTAAATCTGAAATAGAAGCATCCTGACTTGCCAGAGGTCCCCAGTATTTGGAGGTCTGAACCTTTGAAGTTCCCCCTTCCTGTCTGGAGCTACTCACGATTGCAAATCCTGCTCTTCACGTGTTTGGGCAGCTCGTCCTTGGGCAGGGCCTCGCTGCAGCGCTGGCACTTCCCAAAGCTGTCCCTTTTGTCACAGTCAGTCAGCAGGTGATCTGTCAGGCTTGAGATCTCCACCATCTGCAACACAGCCAGGGCCACCCAGGGAGGTTTGTGCTAAGTAGGGGGTGGGATTCAACAACCTGCTTACAAGATTTTTGGAAGGTAAGACTCACCTTCCAAAATGACAAGGGGAAAATGCAATTTAGTTCAGTTATTAATGCATATTCTAAATGCTGCTCTTTTCTGCAAGCACTACCCAAATCACACAGGTGCCTCAGTGTTAAACATCTTATAGTGCCTCAAAACCAGAATAACAACAGCCAATGTCTTCAGTAGCTCTGAAAAGTTCAGTCTGACCTGTTTGCAGTGCTCGCATCGGGTTAACATGGGGCAGTGCTTCCAGTAATGCAGATCCAACCCTTCCTCTGTGAAGGATTCATCCCTTTCACCACAAAAAATACACAAGCTGGGAAAAAAAAAATACAATCATCAGTGACATCAGAGTGAAATGGATGAACCCTGTTCCTTCTGCTTAAAGTTGTTCTGAAAAACAGCCACCATCCTGAACACAACATCTTTTCCCCATGTGGTGCTGACCTTAGCATGGGGCAGGTACTGGGATGTAATTTATGGTCAGTACCACTATAAAGGGTTTGTTCATATAGAAACATTAATTCCACCAGAGCCCTGCCAACAGCTCACTGAAACTGGCTTTCCTGGCTCCAGAATTTCCAAGTGCTTCCTCTATGACCTCCCCTACAACCAGGAAAGCTACGCTGTATTTTTCCCTTATTTCACACAGGCACCTGAACATTGAACTGTGGCCATTTCTTATCCCACAAGCAACTCAGAAAACAAGTTCAAGGGCACACTATCCAAGAATTTAAAAAAAACAATAGCTGGGATTGCTTGGTGATAATTCCCAATCTGTTAGAAGAGATTTTAGTCGCTACTGTCTCACTGCTGAAGGTATTAGCTTTGATCTACTGCAGAAATATTATTACTGTTATTAGCTCACAGGTGACACCAAGTGCTTAAGGTGATTAGAGACTGCTCATCTCACTTACTTATCCAGGTAATTTGCAACTGAGGAAAGATCCTCTGGAATCTCTGCTGCTGCAGCCTGGGGGCTTTCGTATACCCGGTAATCTAGAAGGAGACACCTATTAAACCAAGATCACATTTTAACTCATCTACAGTTCTTAACACTATTTGAAACTACCTACCTTGTTTATTTGGTTTCTGAAAATCAGGTTCTTCCTCCTAAAGAGTAAAGAAATTTTAGATCAGAAATTTGATAAATGGCTGTGATGACTTCCAGGGAGAAAGGAAACACATTATATTCTAATTTTTCTCCGTAATTTAAAGTTTAGAAGCAGAACCAAAGCACTAAAATGTTTGTGCTTCTGGTCCTCAGGAAAATCTCTCAAGTATGAAGGTTTTATTTTATATTATAAAGCTATTATTATTATGTTATATTAAAGAATCCAAATTTTATACTATGTTAGGAGAAACAACACCCCAGATTTTATACTGGACTGCTGAAGAGGAAAGTTACCCTGTGTATGTCTGGAGTCTCTCTCTTTTAAGTATAATGAGACAATGCCAATGTTCATTATCTAAGCCCATGATACCTGAGCAACAAAGGATTAAAAGGAATAAAAATTAAAACCAAACCACCCTCACCTCTTCACCTTGAACCTCTGCCTGTATCTCCTTTAGAGCTGCCAGCTGACCTTGCAGAACTTTTATTTCTTCATTCTTCTGTTTCTCTGCTTCTTCTGTCTCTGCCTTTCTCTGTGCCTGGCAGGAAACCCTCCATCAGTTCCAAAAGCCTTGGAACCATCCATCATACAGAACACATTGCAGAACACATCAGCACAGAACAAACGGCCAGTGCAGAACTGGGAACTTCCTGCTCAGTTAAGTGATGGGTCTGATGCAGTGACACCTCCCTCCTCCCAAATTCAGAAAGGAACACCCAGC